AAGATGAATTTTATTTCCAAATTATAGTTTAGAAATAAAGCGTTTCCAAACCAACTTCCATTAATAAGTCATTTAACGTATTAAATAATTTGAACTTAACTTTCTAAACCGGGGGCAAACCTTTAAAAGACCTAAAAATTGTGGCCAATATTAAAATCAAAGATCTCTTATCACTCTTTCGTTTGATACCCATTTTTGAATATTTCAAATAACTTTATATAACTTTATAGGTGACAACCCTATAAAAATACCTTCAAATTAAAAAAAACCTGCCTAAATCTTTTTCGTCTGAGTCTGGTATTGCGATACATATTTCCATTATGTAATCACAGTTCTTTTAAACACGTGGCAACTCTCCTAAATACAGTTCTAAATTAAATCAGTTTTAAGCTCATTGATACCTATCTTTTACTAATTCATTTGTCTTATTAAATAATTTGAATTCCGCGTTTCAATCAGGTGGCAACCCTTTTCAAACAACACAAAAAAATGTTCAAACCAAAGTTATTTTAAGACTCTTTCGTTTGACAACCCCATTTTAGTATTTTATATAACTTGTAATTCGACTTTTAAAACAGGTAGCCACACTCCTCTAAAAATTTGTAAATACTACCTTCTTAAACCTCTTTCGTCTGGCACCCATACGGGCACTGACATTCTCTCTTCATTATACAAGTAATCACTCTTTATTTCTGCACTTACCCTCGAACCCTCGGAAGTGGTGACGCAAGTGCCACCATTATAGCAGCCCACCTTGATGCAATCCGCTTCGGTGGCATTATCTACACCGCCAGCGCCACCACGTGCAACACCCGTTTCGCCACCGCCACCCGTCGCCACTGTATTTGAGCTTTCAACCTCTTCACTGCTCGCCACTGTTGTAGTGCCAGGCTTGCTGCCAGCCGGCGCATAAGTACTGTAAACCGCCGGCGAAGGAGCTGGTGGTGTTGTCGGTGGTGGCGCCGGCGGCAATGTGGTGTACGCTGGTGCCAGTGTACCCGGCGCAGGAGCTGGCGGCTCAGTTGGCGGCAGGTAAGTAGCCACAGTAATGCGTGTGGTGGTCGGCGGCGATGTCGGTGGTGGTAATGTTGTTGGTGGCAATGCTGCAGGTGTAGAAGATGGCGCAGGCTCTGGTGGTTGTGGTGGCGGTGGCTGTGTAGTCTCTTCTGCCGACTCGGATTCCGGCGGCGCGAGGGTTGTTGGCGCAGCTGGTGGCACAGTTGGTGTTGTAGCCGGGCGTGCTGACGTAGTGGGCCGAATCAGATCTTCAGTGTACAGCGGTTGCGTTGTGGTCACCGTTACAGCTGGCGGTGGAGCTGGTGACAATGTTGTTGGCACGCCGCCGCGATGTGTGGTATGCGGCGGCAATGTGTGGTCTTCTTTGATGGTAGGCGGCGCATGTGTGGTGTGATGGTGGTGGTGATGGTGATGATGATGATGAATGGGACGTTCGACGGTTACGCCAGCGGTTGGAGTCGCAGTTGGCGACACAGTATCGCCGCCTATGTGCGGTGGTAATGTTGTGCCACCATGCACGATGGCTGGCGTTGCTGATGGCAGCGTTGGCGGTGGGTAGGTTGCGCCTGGACGCGCTGTTGTCACTGTGCTCAGGTCTTTGCTGGTGAAGTCCTTGTAGCGTGTGGTCACCGACACTTCGGGGTATTCGGTGAAGAAGGGCGCCGCTGTGGTGGTCACACTCTTGTCCGCCGTCCAAATGCGATGTGGCGTGGTGGGTGCGTCGTGGTCTGGGTACTCGGGATAACCTGTGGGTATGTGCTTGCCGGCGAATTCGGGGAGTATGTGCACCGTGCTGCTGGGAAAGAGTATTGTTGCTGTAGGCCGGTAAGTGGGACGTGCTGTCGAGAAGTCGATGGAGAAAGTGGTCTCGATAGTCGTAACATAGTGCTTGAATGGCGGACGCGTGGAGTAGGTGATGGTCGGGCGTTCTTCCGACTCAGCACTCTTTGAAACCGCCGATGAACCGGGTGTGTAATCCGCATCCACGCCACTGCTCGTCGCCTTGGCTGTGGTGGTGGGAACCTCCTGACCGCTACTCACATCGAGTCGCGTCACTTCATCGGAGGTGCCAATTTCAACTGACGCGCTTCCTTCAGAGGAGTATGACACATCAACGCTGCTGCCACCAGACTCTGCGGTGTACGAACGCGATGCCTCTGTCGTGTGCACCTTCTCCTCCGAGGAGGTGGAGGCGGCGGCGCTACTTGCTGTCGTAACCGGCCCAGACGGTGGTTTTACTTCCACTTCACCATGCTCCTCTTCAGTCTCCTCAGTCTCAACGGAAGTAAACACACCTGCCACCCCCGCGGCAGGCGTCGTTGTAGTCACTACAGTTACCGCAGGAATATGCGGTGTCGCCGCCTCCGTTGTCGTTGGTACTGTCGCCGCGGTTGTTGCAGCTATTGGCCGCACCATTGTTGTCGGTGGCATTGTCGATATGGCTGCAGTGTAATTGCAGTCCAACGAATCCTCGCCAATCATTAGGCACTCGCATAGCATTCCTGTCAGCAACGGCGGACATGAGCATGAAAACGTGTCAACACCATCAATGCATACGCCACCATTCATGCAACGCGGTCCCAATTGGCACTCATCGTACTGATATTCGCACTTCTCGCCATGATAGTCAGGCACACAATAGCACGTCGGTATGCCCTCCTCCATCAGGCAGAGCGCATTGTTCTGGCAAGGATTGTCAGCGCAAATTAATATCTCCTCTTCGCAATTGTTCCCCGTATAGCCCATCGGACAGGCGCACACATACGATGCCAATTTGTCCACGCATACACCGCCATTCTGACATGGCGCCGACTCGCACTCGTTGATCTCCTCCTGACAGATGCGTCCATGCCAGCCGGCAGTACATTCGCAGGAGAACTCCAGACCGGGACCCTCGATGCATTCGCCGCCATTTTGACAGCGCGCACCAGTGCCTGTAACAAAGCGGAAAGAGAGAGAGTGAGAAAGAGAGGGGGATATAGAGGAGTGTGAGTTAAGAGACGTGGTGTTTGTGTGTGCGATTGTGTCAGTTTGAATGCTTCTGAATGCCATTCAATATGGTGGATATTAGTTATATTGATGTCGTAAATGTGGTTGCGTGCTTTCAAGTGCCCGTTTACGTTAGTGTGTTTGTAAAAATTTCAATTCTCCATTTGTTGGCATTCACCTGCGTTGATTTTTCCACTCCTACACTTACCCGTCTCGCAGACCGCCACATCGATTTCACAATTGATGCCCAGGTAGCCCGGCTGACAGGTGCAGGTGTAGCCATTGTTCCGGTCACGACAATGTCCGCCGTTTTGACATGGATTCGACATACACTCATCGACATTTTCCTCGCAATTGATTCCTGTTATTGGTCGTCCGAAATGGGGTTATTGTATATGAAAGTAGAAAAGAAGAAAAGAAAATGGTGAGGAATAAATTCAATAAATGGCATAAAAAATTGTTTTCAATTAAATATAATAGTTTAGGGTTTACATTAGACCGTATAGCCTCACAAGCAATCAAAAAAAGTTTGCCGT